TTTCAATTTAAAGTGGGTTTTCAAAGTTGAAACACGATAATAAAAATAATAATAAATAATTAAAAAATAGTATAATAGTAGAATGTATGACTGTACCCTTCTGGAGTTACGCGGTAAGCTTATTATCTTACTAATACTATAAATGCGAATGTTTTGATGTATGGATGGATGTTTGTTAGAAAGTATCTCTAGAACGGTCGCATAGATCTTAATTAAATTTATAATAGATGTAGAACATAGTCAGGAAGAACACATACTCGTAGGTTACTAAGTTTTTTTTTTAATTCCACGCGGACGGTGTCCCGACAGCCAGCAATCCATACATCCATGAATTTATAAGGCGTAATTGTTTTTGTTTTTTCCAACAACCCTTTGTGACATTAAAGCTGGGGTTGTTACTTATTCAATGTAAGCAGGGTTTTGTGGATCGATACGTCGCCCTATGTCACGCGATACCTTTCCACTGAACAACGGCTACATATTTACTTCAGCTTGAGTTAAAAATTAATGTTCTTATGTTTTAAATATGACCACAGGTTTTGTAACTTAAAAAAAAAAATAATAAGAAATATTATATTGTACAAATTATTATCGTCATTTAACATAAGGAATATGCACAAAAAAGAGTACGGACCAAAGTCTGTAGATGTCTGAGTTGTTTGTTCGTATTGTAGAATTTCATGGTCCTAATATATAAATACTTTTTCTCTGATAATAAATTAAAAAAAAATCCGATTGACTATAGGCCCATGACACTAAGAAAAAGAATATGAAACAAATAAAATCTCACTCACATACACGAAAATAAGTTTAGTGGGCCTATCACGAATATTAGTGACAAACGCTACCGTATCGTCATCGACAAAATGTGTATTACTTGTGCAGCGTATCGGCCGTAAAGTACACCAAAAATCTCATACCAATTTTGACATAATTGGCGATAACAATACGAAGGCGCTTGTTGCAAATACACGTGCTAGGCACACAGTTTTTTTTTTTATATCATAACCTATTATATCCAAAACATATAACGGTTTACCTTTTAGAAATACATTGTTTCCATGATTCGAACTTACTCGTAACATTTTCTGGGAAATCATAAATATTATAATGAAGGGGCGGCCTCCGTCTACGTGAACATGTCTCGTCACTTTATCGTTACACTGCATTACTTGGACTGGAAAATCCTAAGGAACTACGTACGTGGGGGAATATGTAGCAATTTTTTAATCGATACTCTGTTCATATTAAAGGTGTGCTTCCACTAAACAATCAGATAATGCGAAAATAAATAATATAATAAAATTATAATAATATTTCTAATAAACTTTAACTACGTGTAATATGTAAATATATTTTTATGCGTTTTTTTATCAAGACATTCGTAAATAGAATTCAGAAATCTTTTTTTTCTAAATTTTGTAATGTAAGAATTACCTAATAGTGAGTCGAATTAAATCATAATATTGTTATATTAGTAACACACGTTACATTAACTAAACAAAACACCTTATGTTTACTTAGATGCATTACAATGCACTTTAGTACCTAATATTGCAAAACGTGACCTTTGGTTCGTCTTGTGTCATTGACCTGTGCGGACACTGCCTTTGCAATACAACGAATAACATTTCGCGAACTTATACTTGACTAAAATATAAATTTTGTAGCACCAAGATTGTTTTTTTTAACTTAAGTCCTTATATAAACTCTAAGACTAATGCTAATCAGACTGCACTAGCCGGGTACGGGGGCGGCTGCGGGCTCTGCTCCCGTCTTGGCATCTGCATCGAGCTTAGACGACGACGACGCTTTGGCTGTTGAATCAAATTGGTTTAGAACCACAAGCATAGTCACCTTACAGACGCTATATCATTGTATACGATAAGTGCGGACTAAGACATTAGAAACACCCTTACTACCCGACCCGCCTCTGCCCGTGCGCATTGTGAACGTAGCTGACGTCTACATATACATGATGAACTGCACGCGCCTCCACTCTGTGGTGTGGTTTTCCCTTGTAGCTCTTCAATCTTTTCCTGTAGCTCTTATACTATAAAATGAACGATGTAAGCAATGTGTACACGGTTAAATGTAGGCTCGAGCAACGTGGCTAATGACTATACACACAAGACGAGTGAAGCTTGCACTTACGGCCCTGATGCATTCTATTAAGGCTCCGCCTTACAATGTTCATTAATTGATTTACACAATAACATTAGCTTAAGTTAAAATCTTACTAACATTAAAAATTCGAAAGTTTGGATGTATGTATGGATGGATAGATGGATGTTTGTTTAAAGGTACCTCCAGAACGGGTTAAAAAATGTCGAAGAAATTTGGCATAGAAGTAGAACATAGACTGGAGGAAAAATAGGCTACTAATTTTTATTTTTATTCCGTGCGAACGAAGTCGCCGCCGAAAGCTAGTAAAGTAATAAAGTTTAAATTCATCTTAAGATTTTTGCGTACCATCTGAAAACTTGCCCCATTAAAGTCAATACTGAGAAATTATGCAAGATGTGCTTTTGTAAACCTTATCGAACACCCGTCGGCCGGGTACCCTTTTGTTAATTAAGTTTGCCATCCATATTTTAGTCTTAAATTAATTTAGGCGAGTGCCATTTTAAAGGGACGAAATTCTCATCACGAGTAAGAGAAGGTAAGAAATTATTATTAGTTTTAAGAAACGTTATAATTTTGCAACATAGAGCAACCAAATTTTTTATTCAATTTGTTTGTGAAAAATTCACATATTGAATTGTTTTGGAAATATAAATACGTCCTTGAGTTTACAGTCAAGGAATTAAATTTGCTTCTCATTTATAATCCAGTAGAGCTATAAATCAGGGCTTTCTGTCTTCGATGTTCAATGGTGGGTATGAAAAATACGTCCTCGACTGTAACTTCGTTACTCGTAATCCCTCGTCAGCTAAAGCCTTTGCCTTTGAATTCCATTTGAAACTATAACTAGCAGCTTGACATTTGCGAAATTCTTTTCAACGTGGTTGTAATAAATGCGAGTCGGAAACTAGGTTAACACCGTCAGAAAGAATAGCGAAAAACATGAGTTTTCATAGCCTAAAACTCCGTACAAGATATATTTTCATCTCTAACACTTAAAAAAAAACATGTTTTGGTAAAGATAGTTGGAATATTGACAGTGTAAAGCGGTAATACATGAGAAAGGATCCTATCGTATCGATAGATCCTTTAGATCGAGATCGATATAAGATATATAATACACCATAAGGATTTTATAACATAGCAGTTGGCTGATTTCGCCGGCGAAGAAATTAAATTAAAAAATATAGTCTATGTCATCCGAGGACAGTCTAGCTTCGTAACAGTGAAAGATATTTTCAAATCGGTTCACTACTTTTTAAGCCTATTCAAAGCCAACAATCAAACATAATCGTTCCTCTTTAAAGTTAGTAGACGTGATTTAGTAGTAAGTATTTTTGAACTTTTTATATCACAAGCTGTCCACCAGCTTTTAATTTAAAAAACTTTTTTTAACAAAGTATTTTATAGTCTAAAATATCTAATTTCGTAATCGTCAAAGGAGTCAATGACCTGCGTTCGCAACCTTTTTAAATTATCCTCAACGTAAAGATTTATCAGGCAACAAAATGTTTTAGGTCCGCATAACCACGGGACGGGTCCATTTCTAAAAATAGAACGTAACATAATACTGAGTAAGATAAAATTGAATATGATTATAGCTTGCTTAGCTTATATCCAGTCAAGCGTCGGTGGATCAGGGGTTTAAGCACTTGACTTGTAATCTGCAGGTCCTGGGTTCGAATCCTGCCATATATCATTGTGTTTTTCAATTTTTGATTTACATACTTACATTTATCCGACGTTCTTACGGTAAAGGAAAACATTGTGATGCAACCTGCACATATCTGAGAAGAAATTCAACGATATGTGTGAAGTCAACCAACCCGCACCGGGCCAGCGTGGTTGACTATGGCCTAGTCACCCCTTAATTTCGCATACATATAGAAGATAGTCTGGAAGAACACATAGACTTCTTATTAAGTTTTTTTTTTTTAATTTAATTCCTCGCGGATAAAGTCGCAAGCGATCGCTAGTATCTTATAATATCCATAAATCATTATCATTCTTTATATGTTAGCCTTGACACAACAAAAACGGTAAAGGTCTGCATTAAGCGATCGATGTAATTAACCTAGAAATACCTTTCTCTTAGTCATAGCATCGTAAGCCTAATAAGTACTCAATAAACCTATACCTGTATAATGTATTTATCTATAAATATTAGTCATTATTTCCTTTGCTTTATAATTTTCCCAACCTTTTTCACGCAACTCTGCTCGCGCGGATTTGAAAATGTTCTACATCTATGCTAAATTTCAGCGAGATCCGTGCAGCCATTAAGAAGATACATAATTACTAACATTTATCCATCCATTTAATCTTTTGCATTTATGATATTAGTAAGATTATGTTAGGATAGACCTAGGTTCATAAAAATAGATTAACCGTTTAGGGCTGTACCACACTTTTTGTACCTAATATGCATTCAAATAAATTTTCGCAATAATTTCTTTACTCTACAAGGAACTTGTAATGACTTGTCAAAACTACTATAGTTACTTTAATAGTGATAAAATTTTCTTAAGAAAATAAAGAATTATTAACTCCCTTGTTACTTTGAAAGTAAATGGTCCTATATGAGGTGAAACTTTGAATTAATCTCGGGTACTAAATTGTTGCGAACATAGGAAGTCATACGTAAAGAGATCCCTTCTCTATATCTAAACTTTGTTAAACTTCGGCTAACTTAAATAGACTCATGAAGTTTTATGTTAGTTAATGCTATGAGTTTCCACTGTCAAACATGGTGCAAAAACATATTGTCATCCTTCAGAATTTCGTTAAAAATAAACTAAAATATTAAAACATTGAAACATAAAAAATCAAATTTAAAAAAATAATAAAAAATAATAGAAAATAAAAAAGAAACTTACAATTGGCTAGCATTGAGAAAATTTAAACTGCAATATGTTCTGCAAATCCTGAAAACAAAAAGAAAAAAAATAAAACAAAAAATAAAATAAAAAAATGTACTAATACAGCAAGTAGCATAATATCGATAATATTTATTATTATTATTTATTTATTTATTCTGAATTCTCTAAATTAAATTTAGAGTGGATTTTATCTTTCATCTTGGTGCGCGTCCATGCGTCCGGATGCGAGGGACGTATTAAAAAGAAAAAGGATTGTAGTGTTGTAAAGAGACGAGACGTTAAAAATATCGATAACACAAATAAATCTATTAAGAAACGTAACGTTCAAATTCAGACAAGTTCATTCGTGTAAGTGAAATTAAAAAACTTTTAAAGGAAAAATTAAAAAAACTTTAAAAAGTTTAGTGAGTTAAAGTGAATGTTTACTTAGTAACTGTACAAAAGAAAATATCAGTATTGATATTATTTTATGACATAAAAGTACAAAAAAGTCTTTATTTTTAATAATCCACTGCGCAAAGGCACATCACTAAAGATACGTGAACTCTTCGCCGCCACATGTGAGCGTAAAGAAACTTTATCTGTACTCGGACAAATAATCAGACATCATACACAAATACATTCGTAAGCTAACTCTAAGAATAAATCAGAATTTAGTAACATGCGAAAGATGTGCTGCACATTCTCAAAATAATGAATGCAGATTATTACAGATGACATTTTTCACCTTGAATTTGTTAATTATCTATTAATATTTTAATCATATTTATTTAAAATTATGAGTCTTTTGAACCAATTTCATTAACTATTTATTAAGTTTAATTCGCGCACAAAAGTTCGCAACTAACAAACCACAAACGTATTGCGGCAAACGAGAAGTTTCAAGGACTTTTTCAATCGAATCTACAACCGCACGAAGACAGCGCCTGTGCAAATTTTAAGCGCAATTTTTTTTTTCACGAAGAATCGCGAGAGCGTTAGAAACTTTGCTTTTAGGGAACTTTAAAGTTAGTCTTATATGTTCAATACTCCAAGTCTTATTATAATTCTAGCAATATTTTAAACTAATATTATAAATGCGAGTGTTTAGATGGATAGATGGATGGATGTTTGTTTGAAGGTATTTCCGGAACGGCTCAACAGATCTTGCTAAAATTTGACATAGGTGTAGAAAGTTGTCTGAAAGAAGTCTCATTAAGTTGTTTTTTAATTTCGAGCTGACTGAGTCACTAGTTTTAAATAATATGAAGAATCGTTAAATTGACCATTAGCTTTTATTGCTTTGTAATAAGACCTAATAAAAAGGATGCTGTCAAAATTATCTTTATATGCGTGCTAAAATTTCAGAAAATTCTAGATACCTATTTCTACAATCTACATCTTATAAAATAATAATTATTTAATAAATTAAAAATATGATTAATTTGTGAAAATTAACAATTAAATTACAATTAATTAGGCTGTTAAATTAATTCCGTTTCCCTGTAGAGGCTTAAGAAGCGACGTTGTAAATTGATGAGCCGGCAGATCGTACTCTTTTCATTTAGGAGGGTTATTTTAATGGAGCTATAAATGACAACCCGCCAAGGGATTTATTAGCCCGGCAAATGAACCCTGGGAAATTACGGACGTTACAAAGTTACTGCTGATTTTAAGTTTCTGTGAAATAAGAAATTACATTCTCTTTGAGTCTGCTTGCCTAATAGTAATAGTAATTTAACCAAAATCAAAGTATATTTTTCATTAAACATATTTTTTTTGTCCACATAATTTTAAAGTCCACATAAGTTTGCGTTTAATTGATTATTTGGCGATTGTGAGACGCAAACGACGACTTTATTTGACAAATAAGTTCCAACTATCTAGCTTATATTGGACTAAGACACCGTGAAATTGGTGCAAATTTTATGCACAATTTTGTTTAAAAAGTCCTACAAAGTTTTCGAATCAGGTATTAATATAAAGATAAACTTAAAACTGTTAGAAAGATAAAATAAAATTCACTTTTTTCGAAAATAAACGTGTATTGTTGAATATGAATAGAAAAAGACAACGAATAAAGTTTTTTGACATATTTAAAAAGAATAAATTATTTCTTTATTTTCTATGTGGCCTGACTGAAAATATTGAAACTCCTTGGACACTCTCTCGATTAAGAAGCAACTATTTGCAAGTTATGCCGAAGCATATCCGGTTGTTACAATAAAATTATATTAAACTAACCTTATGTTTTAAACAGGAGAGTTTAATTTACTATGCAAATTATATCGAGACAAATATATTAGTAAGGTTATTGGCGTCTCAATGGAGCTGCATTCTTAATAAGTATGATTCCGTTATTCCGTATAACCACAGCTGTATCGATAAAACAGGTGAGACAGGTTTTTTGCATCTTAGCGAATATTTTTTTATGCAAATAAAATAGGGTAAAAAAACAGATCTAACTAGACTGTATCTTACTTGTCTAACTAATATTACAGATAGCTGTCGCCCGCGACTTTGTCTGCGCAAAATTAAAAAAGTAATAAGTAGCCTATGTGTTCTTCCAGACTATGTTTTCTGTGCCAGATTTCATCTAGATACCTTGAGCCGTGCCGGAGATACCTTCGAACAAACATCAATCCATCCATCTAAACATTCGCATTTATAATATTAGTAAGATTATAAGTGCGTATATTTGGTTGGATGGATGTTTGTTAGAAGGTATCTCCAGAATGGTTTAACAGTTCTCGGTTTAATTGGACAGATGTAGAGCATAGCCTGGAAGAACATAGGCTACTAATAAAGTTTTTATTTCGCGCGAATGGAGTCGCGGGCAAGAGCTAGTATTTTATGTAAAGATGACTAAGATTGATATCAAAATCCTTTACAATAGTAAAATGTTCATAAATGCAGGAAATACAATAAAGTCAATTGCCAACGAACATTCCATCTCGCTCTGATATGATTCATCTACATTTCTTTGTTGGATGCGTCATATGCGCTGTTTCATCTTTAAATCTGGTTGTTGATATCCTTTGACTCATAACGACCATAACTTGAGCCCTCCATACACGAAGTGCTTGAAGCTGTCCGTGTGTAGCGGTCCTTACTGACTGAAGTTATAAGAAAAGTTGTTCTTTTATGGTCTAATAACTGTCAGGATAATTCAATTAAAGGGAAGTTTTGCATTGTTTTTGTGTTTTAGTGGCAGGAAAAATGTTGCATAAAACATTTTTTTTTTAACTATCGAACATATTTATTACTAGCTGTAGCCCGCTTCTCCGTCCGCGCAGAATTACAAAAAAAACTTAATTAGTACTCTATGTGTTCTTCCAATCTATGTTCTATAAGTATGCCAAATTCCATAGAGTTCCGTTCAGCCGTTCTAGAGATACCTTCAAACAAACATCCATACAAACATTCTAATTTATAATTTTAGTAAGATTCTAAAATATTATGAAAGTGTGACATCGAAGTTAATTATACTAAAAAGAAACAATTATATCGTGTGCTTATTTGTTAAAAGTACTCTAACAGCCGTGTTCTAGCAATTGTTTGATATCTCTCACGGTTTTACTTCGCTCGAAAGTTAGGTGAAATGATTCATACTCTACAAGTCTTGTAAGTTTTTGTGATAGCTAATATGTTGGTCTTTAAACTTGTTCTTAATATACTACTATTTTAAACGCAGCATAAAATATTAAAGGATTAGTTTAATATTGATTGTTTCCTTATGTATTAATAAAATTGGAATTATATACACTTTTATGTAATATCGAAAAATAAATCAAAATTCATAATAGGAAGAAAATCCGAAAATGAGCCAGTGTATTGACGTAACAGCCTTACTAAAATGTCGACGTTTATGTCCCCTCACTATTCATTCTGACACTGGACATTGTAACGACAGCACGTCATTCGCGTCAAAGGATTCTAATGAATAATATCTAAAAGTATAAATCATATATTTTCATGATAACGAAAAACCAATTTTTAAAAAAATTATCTGTCTATAAGTCTGTCTGCAAGGCTGCGATTGTTCCGGAACGGGAGGATCGATTTTGAGGGGACTTTAACGGTAAGATAGCTGTTGCACGCGGGTGTATTATCGTCTAGTTTAAATTCTGCGCTAACGAAGTCACAGGCGATCGCTAGTATGAAATAAATGGGATAGTGGGCATAATTTTATACAATTTAAGTAGTAGAATCTTGTTTTTAGTTTGTTGAATTTTGTATGTAAATCTGCATCTTTATTTGATAACGGTCAATCGTAACTATGTAGCACCACACTAACCGGTGCTCTTTATACGGACAATCAATTACTATCTCCGCAGTTACGATTATCGAACGAGTTATCTTGAACCGTTATAACAGTTAAAAGGCGTTATAGTTTAATCACCAGTTTACGTGTGTAAAACAACTATTAAATTTTAAAATGAAAAAAGTGTAAACGATTTTTGTGTTTTGTTTCTTTCAATATAACATTAACCAGTTTTGACTGCTAAAAACGTAAAGATTTTTTTTTTAATTTTGTATTACCTATGTTTTTTTTTTAGAAAAGTAGATTGAACTTTTAAATATATCGACCAATGGAAAAGAAGATGATAAATAAGAGAGATGTTAATATGTTTTGTACAAGTTTGTTAGCAATGGAAACCCACAATATACCAATAAATAAATCCTCGCACAGATGTCACGGCTTGTAACGATCAAATCTCAATCATTGTCATATTTTATCGCCGTCGGAAACGCTATTAATTTTCCCTCGCTACGTGTTCGATAGTAACATGTTACATACATAAATTGATTTATAAATCTTACGTAAGAAACCGCATCAAAACGAAATCGTTAAACATACATATTTACTTGAGTTTCAAACACTCTTGTCTAAAAAATTTATTTCTTGTAAAATAAATCTACTTCACTTAAATGTACCAATGTGTTTTTCGTTTTCCGATTTACATATGTACATTTATCCGACGTTCTTAAGGTGAAGGAAAACATGATGCAACCTGCACATATCTGAGAAGAAATTCAAAGATATGTGTCAAGTCAACCAAGCT